AAGAGGCATAAAAGGAGATTTCTAGGCAACGTGAAGCTGAGGGTGGTTTAGTCTCGTCGGATTCTGAAGGCATCTCAAGATCCAGCCCCCTCAGAACAGCTCAAAATAAGCTACGATTACGGCAAAGAGAACAACAGCCTGCATAAACCTGGCCATGGTTATCGTCGAAGTCGAGGAACTACTGTTTTCAATCGCTCTCGTCATCATAGGCTTCCTGATACGATCTTCTGTGGTGAGGATGGCTTCTCGAGCTCCACCCCACTTCCCCGGGCCCCGCAGGCGATACTGGATGGGAGTACAGGGTCCCAGAAACAACTGTAACGCCAGTTTGGGGTCGGTGAAGGCCAGAGACAGCAGGTTGGGCTTGACGCCCACCAGATCAGCAAGGTCGTCCATGATGGCGACGTAGTCTGTCTGAATGGTATGGCGTGGGCTCTCCACATACCTGAAGCAGACAAGACAGAAGCATGGCCTATCAACAGTTCAATCGGTCAGTCAGTCAAGCAGTAAATCAACTAACCAGTGCTTTCTGGAGCTGTGGAAGATAGAAAAGAAACGTAAGACCTCGTTTCTGTCCTTGAGGACTTTCTAATCTAAGGGAGGAGATAAGAGAGATACACGTGAAACAGAGAAGAAGATAAGACTTGGTTTTAGGCTGCTAAGTAGAAATGCAGAAGACGGTAGCTAAAATACAGCTATAATAAGTCCTTGGAAAATGTGGAACATGTAGATGGACTGAGAACAAGGCGGAAAGTTTTACAGGTCAGGGGAACGGCGGAGTGAAGGAGTGCAGCGGGCCCGAGTACAGAACGTGAACGTGGGTACAGAGTATCTGTGGGCATCGCCTACAGTAGAGGAGGCGCGTTGTAGGAACCCGAGTGGATATCCGGGTGCAGTCCACATCCAGAGACAGAGGACTCCGCTGTTATCAGAGAGACCCCACCCTGAAAATGCTCGAGTCGGGGACCCTCGTTTGTTCGGTGAGGGCAGTGGCGGTGGGGTCCACACGGCAGGATGTTTGAGTGCCGGAAAAACAAGGAAAGAGAGCACTCGGAGAAGGACGAGATGTTTAAGGGCACCAGACTCAGTGGGGAGGAAAATGAAGCTGGTCACGGCTGACCTTCAACGGCGCAGGTACAGGAGTGAGGACAGAAGTGACAAAGCGGGGAGCTTAGGAGGGAGAACAGGGCGAGACTTTAGAGCATCTAACATAGAACGTTTGTGGCAGAAGGTTGGCAGTGAAAGGGAGGCAAAACTAGAAGAGCTGGCGAGGGCATCGGGGTTCAATAAAACTCCCTCTCCAAGGTGGAGCCGTACTCAGCTAAAGACAACCGCCTCTTCGGGCCTGGGATGATGTGTCTCTGACTTTTTCCACAAAAGCCTAGGAACTTACCATCACCTTTCGCTTTGTCCAGATGAAAACCAGCCAGCGAATAAGCTCAATTCTGTAATTCAGCTCGCTAAATTACCGTGTTCGCCCAGGCACCAAGCAGCTGGCTGGTGTTACCGCCACCCCTGATCACAAATACTATTCATGCTACCGGCCGCCGTGACGCGTGCTGCCCCACGATGACAGCCTGCCAAGTGGCCTCTGCAGACAAGTGACCTTTGTTACTCTACCTGCAGATTTCCAATTCAACCATATCTCAGTAATTCATTATCTTTCTTCCTTTCCCAGGCAGCTCCACTGCCACTTCAAGTGATCCTTGTAAAAACATTATACCTAATTTTCTTTCCATGTGCTTCTTCTCATTTGACTTTTCTTTCATGCCCTAAACATAGGATTTTAAACACTTTTTAAAAATTTAAAGTTGTTACTAGTTTCAAGGATACAGTATAATGGTTAGACGTTTATATAGTTTATAAAACCATCTCCCTAACTGCTCTTTCTGTGCTCTGGCTCTCTATCTAGCCATTAACGCTAAATGCATTCCCTATGAGGTGCTCCCCATCCCATGACCACCTAGCAGCTACTAGTTCGTATTTCTTTAACCCTTCACCCCATTCTCCCAGCCCCCAACCCCCTCCCCTCTGGCCATCATCAGATTGTCCACTATATTTGTCAATCTGTTTTTGATTACGTTGTTCTTTCTTGTTCCATAGATTCTGCATATAAGTGAAATCATATGGTATTTATCTTTCTCCATCTGACTTATTTCACTCAGCATAATAACCTCTTGGTTCATCCATGTTGCAAATAGTAGGATTTCTTTTTTTTTTTTTTTAACAGCTGAGTAATATTCCATTGCGTATGTGAACCATAACTTCTTTATCCAGTTGTCTACGGATGGGCATGTAGGCTGCTTCCATGTCTTGGCCATTGTGAATTGTGCTGCCGTAAATACTTTTCTTAAGCTTGTCTCAAACCTCTTGGTACTATTTCTCCATTCTATCTTCGTAAACCATTATCTCCTTTTCCTTTAAAATCTGACCCAAATCCTTAAACTAACATGAGGAGGATAAAGATAGTACTCTATTGCTCTTATTAAGAACTAAGTCGGTAGAAAACCTAAGCACATACTTTCCTTGGAGAATTTCTTACCTTTTTTCCAATTTCTCTTGAATCTTAGTTATTTCTGTTATCATTTCACTTTGTGAGGGCAACGTCTTTAGCCCTAAAGAGAAAAACCAAAAATTTAAGTGTGAGGAACAATAATCCTACTAACAATTACTCTGGCATGGAGAATTTCAAGAAAAACGGGACCGTCTTCTGTACTCAAGGAGGTCGTACCTACCACCACCACCATTAATATCGATGTCAGTAGCTTTCTCTATTCTACTTTGTCTTTGGAAGATATTTCTCCAGCTCTGCCTTCCAACCAATACCTGCCTCCACCGTCACAGTCTTTTGCTGTGGACATAAGGAAATGATAAATGGCTTAAAAGTCTGTGGAAGGACTTTTGACAGGGCTGCAGAAGAGAGAAAGTGAAAATTAGATTTTAGTCAAGGCGCGGAAGTGGGTTCGGCGTTCTAGAAAAGGGTGGAATGTTTTCTTGACAAGAGAACAGTAATTCCAGAGCACAGAAGGAAGAAGGAAAATGGGGACAGGCCAGGCCAGGGAAGGGGACGGGCCGAGCTGGGCATGAAAGAATGGGAGAAACGGATCTAAAAGCGAGAAAGGGTTGAAAATAGGTACAGTGAAGGCAGAGTTCAGAGATGAGAAAGGCAAGAAGAGGTAGGGTTCCTACTGGAAGTTTGATAACGATTCTTCTAATGATTCTTTCCTTCCAGGTCTTAGAAGAAGGCCGGAGGAATGAGCACTAGGCCTCTGCTAGCACAGGAAGCTGGGCTTTTTGTGCATTTCCCCCTAAGATCCCCTAATCCCACAGCTGTAATGCAGACTCCCAAATACTCATTTTCCATGCTCCTCTCAACGGCTCGCTAGGTCTTAGAAAAGAGTCTGAGTTATTTCAAGGATACTACGACACTACAGCCTATTTTTAATGCGATTTTTTCTCTCTGACTTAATTGACCGAAATAAAAGATCCATCTAGGATGACTGGAATTAAGCCAACGTGATGGGTTCCTTGCGTTTGGTGGCACGGTGCTCACAGGGAGTACACGATCTACTGGGTAGAACTAAAAGGGATTAAGAAGTGATAGAACTTCGGGGGAACCTGGCAATGTTTTTGATTGGTCGACTCGAACGCCATTACTCCTTCTTTTGCTCTGCTACCGGAGATCGTCTCTAGGAAGGAGGGAGCTGTAATTCCAACAAGAACTCTGATAGTTTTAATTAAACGTTAGTGATGGTGACAAATTTTATTATAACAACCATAGAATCGTATAATTCCTTTGTTAGAAGGGACTTGAGAGGTGGTCTGATTTCTCCCTGTTCTGAGGTTTGAATCTACTCCACATGGGTCCGGCCGGATAGCCATCCAGCCATTTTCATTCTCTTCCAATTCTGCGTGGATTCCTCGCCATTTCAGAGGCAGCCCATTCCATCTTGAAATGGCCCTGGCTGATAGAAAGTTGTTTGTTCGTTTGTTTGTTTTTTATGTTAACCTGATACTGTGCAATCCTCAAAGTTTCACTCCTTGGTCCTGGTGCAACCCTTTGAAGTGATATTGAGCAAAACAAATCCTTCTGCCATGAGATAGCCCTTCAGATATTTAAAGGGAGCTCTCAGATCTCCCCTGAACCTTTTCCAGGCTAAACTTCTTCATCTTCTTCAGTTATTCTTAACATGGGACATTTTCAGATCCCTTAACCATTCTTGTCTCTCCTTTTAATGCACTACGGTTTCACTTTTAAAACATGTCTTTGGGTGTGCTCTGACCAGTTTAGAGAAGAATAGTTGGAAGTTTGGGGACGTTGTAATTTTTTAATGACACTAGATAGAGTTAAGCCTTTTGAAAGCTGGATCAATCTGCTGACTCATATCGTGCCTTCTACCCCAAACCCCAAAACTGAGAGAGGGGATCTAAAGAGGGGAAAGTGAGAATTTGAGAGGGTGAATCTTTTACATTCTGGGCTAGTCTTTAACCAAGTCTTACTTTGGGGCCGAAATCAAATCACACCACTTCTATGTTTGACTTTAACTATATTAAAAAAGATAAACTTCTCTGGCTTCACAAATATATATGTATCAGTTGTCTAAAATCTAGGTGAGTGGATCATGATGTAGAGTGCACAATGGAATCACTTGGGGAACATTTTCTCAAAGATCTATGTCTGCCCCACCCCAGGTTTATTAAATAAACACCACCAGGAAAAGCATGTGTATTTTGAGAAAATTTCCCAGGATATCCCAATATATGTCCATGATTATAAATGACTACTTTATATTTAGTGAAAAAATTAATTTTTGAGCACTATTTTTGTATCAGGCACGGTTACAATCGTATATACTGTCTCAGCTATTTAAGATTAAGATCATAAACATAATGAAACATAACACCAAGTAAGAAGTCAGCTTGCATGGTCACTTACCTTTAAATACTTGAGCGACCCAACGTCCTTGGAGCTCTGAAATGGGCATAATGGCACCCACGGGCTGGATCAAGCCTATGATTGCAAGAGTTGGTTTTTCCAGGTTGGGAGGGAAGACCTTTTTATACAGGAGTATCTTGTTTTTGGTTGTTTTGACTACATCTTTAAGAAAAGGAAAGGCAAAGCTATAGCCTGTGGCAAAGATAACAACATCAATGTCATCCTCCCTGGAGCCATCTTCGAATATGGCAGCTCTCTCTGTGAATTCCTTCACATTTCCTTTCACCTTCACCAAGCCAGAAAGTATACGATTCGGCAGGTCATCGTTGATTGTTGGATGCTGACTCAGAGCTCTGTGAATGGTGATAAAGACCAAAAGAAGGATTAATGAGAGAAATCATGAGGGGAGAGAGAGAGAAATCAGTAACATGTAAGTCAAATTCTATTTTGATGGAGGTGGTTAAATGATGGGCCAGTGGTCTCCTCTTTGGTCTATCCATGAAATTTGGGAAAGGCCTAATGCACGGAGCAGGATCTCAGAGCGGAAGCTGGACCCTGGATGGCACTGAAAGCGAAGGTGTTGGGAAGTGAAGGTCTTCTACGTGGTTTCGCAGGGAACAGAAATGCCCCAAGCCACAAAACTGAGTCTTACATCTAGTCGCCAAGTCTTTTCCCTTCGTCCTCTTAACATCCTTAGAATAGTTCACCCTGTTCTCTATCTCACCTGGACTATTACGATGGTCTTTAGGGTCTCCCGCTCCCCCCTCTCCTCCCTCCTTCAATCTATCTTCTTTTTAGAGTGGTTGTTCAAAAAAAAAAAAAAGTATTTATTATTGTGTCACTCACTCGCTTACAATCAATTCAGTGGCTCTGGACTGTCGTCATCCCAGACTTTTCATTTAGCAGAGCATACACAGGTGTTCATGTACCTGCCCGGTGAGCCTGGAGATGTGCTCAGTCACTCTTCCACCTCTGCCATGCAGTTCCGGCCAAACCAGACCACGTGCAGGTCCCAGAGCCTAGTTTTTGCTATTCCAAGATCTCGTACTTAAAATACGAATGCTATTTCCTTCCCCCATTTGTTTGTTTGACTATCTCCTCTTATTTCATAAAGCCTCAATTTATTTTGTAATCACCAAAGGTATAGATGGTACTGTTTCCATAATCGGATGAAATAAGTGGGTGAAAGGTTATTGGGGAACAACCTCAAAGTTCACCCTACTGATTATTTTCAAAGGAAAAAAAATATACCTTTATAAAGGAGAAACCTGGTAGATACCACCTTATCCAAGTGAGCAAATTTAGCATTAATATGTTCATGGCTCCTGTTGTGATCTAGCAAGAAGGTACAACATAACTTTTGAAAATAATTTGAGTATTTGTGCCAAAAACGTTTGAGCTGAATATGATAAGGGAAAAACAGCTATGTTAAGTCCAAAGTCAGAGACTTTCTGCAAAACAATTGGCTTGTTTTTTTGTTTTGTTTTGTTTTGTTTTAATGGAGAATTATTTCTGATTAAGGGAAATTAAAGAGACTTGACAGGATCTTGGGTTTAAAAATGAAAAAGCTATAAAGATATGTTATTGGGACCATTTGGGAAATTTGAAGATTAGATAATAGTATTTTATCAATGTTAAATTTCCCAGGTGTGGTAATTGTGTTTATGTAGGAGGATGCTCTTTTTCTTAGGCATCGTATGTTGAATAATTTAGGGTAAAGTGTCTTAATGATTGCAACTTACTCTTCAAAGGTTCAGAAAAAAAATATGTGTGTGTGCATATATGTAATGTATGTAGTATGCATGACATATATATGGATCTATCTTCAGAGGGAGGGACAGCAAATACAGCAAACTGTCAATAACAGGAAAATGTAAACGGAGTACAGATGCGTGCTCATTATACTTTCTATTTTGAAATAAGTAAAGCTGAGCATTTAGAATTGGCCTCTAGAAACGCTTTCACCGTCTACCTCCTCGGCTGTGTGAGGGTTCCCATCCGCCCGCTGTCACAGAGTGCCATGTGTTCTCTATCTTACTCTGCTGTCTCTCTTCTCTTACAGTCCTTGAGGCAAAATCCATTTCTTGGGTCTGCTGCTTATTCTTTGTGTGATCTTGGGCAAATTAGTTTCTCCAAGTGTCAATTTTTATATCTGGAAAATGTAGGTAAAACACCAACCTCTACGGCTGTCGTGAGGATTAAATGAGATAATGCATGTAACTCATGTAGCCCGGTGCTTGTCTTATGTTAAGTCCTCTAAAGGGAAGGGATGATTATTTGTGTTAGTATTACTATCAGGTCTTTAATCTCTGTATTCTCATGCCCGGCCTCACGCTTGGCTCATAAGAGGTGCTCGATGTTGATGGATGAATGAGTGAGGCGCTATCCTCGGCTACGATTTTGTTGTTGTCGTTGGACATCACATAACAAAACTGGTACTCGGGGGAATGATGGAATGGTGAGTGCCATGGAGAATCCTAGGTCTGGGACTTCCGGGGGAGCAAGGTCAAAACCTGACCTCAGATTCTGTGGATTTTCTTACTGTTCGTGGAGAGTGAACCTGTGTGACTGGTCCTTAATTCGTGCCTTGGCTGTTACCACCCTGCTCTCCCATGGGAACATACCTGTGTTTAGGCTTTAGGCCGTACATTTCGTGGTTAAACCTTTGGTTTAACTGATTTTCAAGATACGTGTTTATTAATGATTCATGGCACATCTGTAGGAAGAGTTGTTTAAATCGCGTTAAGGACACCACATCTTGAGGATATCCTTTGTCTCCTACACGATTGAGGATCCAAGACCCTCTCCGGGTACTGAGGAAAACCTGGAAGAGGGGAAAAATGGTTTGCTTTTACCATTCTCTGACTCATAAACCTTTAAAAGTACCCCATTTTCTTCAAGAGTAAGTTTAAATTCATTGGTCTGGCTCTTGAGTCCCTGTGCAATCTTTTTTTTTTTAAATTATTATTATTTCTTCCTACCTTCCTTCTCAAACACTACTCTTACAATTAAATTGGTGTATTCCCTGACCAAGACTGTGTCTTGCTCTGAAGCACCACTGCTTTTCTGTTTTCTGTTGAATTTCCAAAAGCCTATTCACTCTTAAGATCCAGATCAAGTCCGCCTCCTCCATGAAGACATCTCTGATTGCTCTGGCTGACAGTTTTCTCTCCATTCTCTGAAATTCTCTAGCCTTTACCACCTGTCCAACTCACAATCGTGGAATGATAAAGCTGGTAGCAACTGTAGATCATTTAATCCAAAACCCTCAATCTTTTTTGCCTTTGACGTTGTTTGCATCATTACAAAAAACAAACAAACAAACAAAAAACCCTCGTTATTTATCATTTATATTGATATGAAACTTTTAATTTTCTTTCAGTTGTAACATGTAAAAGTGCTTAATATGGTAGCGCTTTAGGTCACCATCAGTGAGAATACATGTGTGAAGTTAAACACTCTTAACTTCTGTCCCTCCAAATTTGTTTTCTCCAGGGTGGAAGGATAGCATACACATCTTTTAGTATCCCCGACACATCATTATCATCACTTTCCGTTATTGAGAATTGTGACCTGTAAGTCGCTCTGCTAGGTTCTTTATCTATACCTTATTTAATCAATACAACCACTTCTTGAAGTGGGTATTATTGTCCTCATTTCATACGTGAGAGGCATGGTCCGATCACACAGCTAGTAAGTGGCAGAGCTGAATTTCCAACCCAGGTCTGACTAACTCCATAGCCTGCACTGCAGAAATGTTTCATGGATTATTTACCGGAAAAACCGAAGCTTGTTAGGAGAATAACAGGGAACTGGCCAGTCTTTTTATGTCCTCTGCTGGCTAAAGTCCATGTTTAGAGCTGATAAAAGTTTGATATTGAATTACCTGGTGAAAAAAGTATCAATTTCTCTACATTATAAAACTCTAGAGATAGTTTTGAATCGTAAGGTATATAAGTACATGGCTCTATGGTCTTTTGTCTCAGCTGCAAGTAAAAAGATAACCTGTCATAATTGAGCACGTTCAGATGTCACAGTTTAAAGGGCAGGCATGGTCTCAGGAATCAGATGGTTTTGTGTGCAGTCTATATAACTTTTGTTATATAAGTAGATAAGTAATGAGTAATGTCAATGCTCGGAGCCCCATTTCAAAGGTTTCCTATGTATAAAATAGTGACAACGATACATATATCAGAAGGCTATTGTGAGAAGTAGTGTTTCGTAAAGGGAGTGGCATGTAGCAAACATTCAATAAATGCTTAATGGCTATCATCCTATTTCTTATTTCACTTGTCTGTCTGTACCTTGTTTTAAGCAAACAGCACATTTGCAGATTTGGATTTATACGGAAAAAAATGTAAGGAAAATCGAATTTCAAGAAAGGGATGTTTCCTCTTCACAAAGGCATTATAGTACGAGAATTCTCATACCAAAATGTCCTTGATACGCTGACAGGTATAGGTTCATTTAAGATGTCTGATTTACAAGCAACTTCTCATAAATACAATTTCATACATAAAGCCAAAAGTCAGAACCCAGCAACTGCGTTTCTTCAGCTTGTCTGAGTGGCGGCAGAGGTGGCTGTGCCGTCCTTGCCGTGCAGACATCGCGAAGCTGTGCGTTCCCCCAGGCTTTCCCAGACACGGCACCTCGTCTCCGCCCACTCTGGGTGCTCTGCCCTTTGGCAATCTACATTTCCTTGGTGCATTAGCCTCAGCTCCCTTATCACTGGTCCTGTGACAAGCCAAGGACATTGAAGAAGGCTCATGCCTCCGGTCCCCACGACATACCTGGTACATTCTTTTTATCATAACAGCCACACACATTTCTACCTTTTCTTATTTATCTAGTTATTTCCTGATAAATGCTTGTTGAATTCATTCATGCAGTAACATATGAAATCACTTCCGTGGTGACAGATGAGGATAGGACCGAGAAGAAATGTTATCGGATGGAGTTTCTGGGTAAATGTCATTTAACGAAGTTGTGCCATTAAACTTTTTTTTTTTTTTTAATAACTTAAAACATATTTGTGGAGAAGCGCAGCTTAACTCAACTTCCTGAAGAACAACCAGGCTTATCCCTGTTGCCGAGAAAGTTATGATTCAATAAAGATGTGAATAATAAAATATAAAAATGACATGTTTTTTCCCTAGGAATTTATAATGAAGACGCTGTCTTCCCAGTTCAAAATCTATGATACTAAAGAGAGAGAGAGAGAGAGAGAGAGAGAGAGAGAGAGAGAGAGAGAGAGAGAGAGAGAGAGAGAGAGAGAGAGAGAGAGAGAGAGAGAGAGAGAGAGAGAGAGAGAGAGAAGGAAGGAAGGAAGGAAGGAAGGAAGGAAGGAAGCCTCAAACAACAAAAAGCCTCAAGGCCAGATACATTGCTTTGGAGCAGAAGTCACTCCACGTTAGGGAGCTGCATGCGGAGGCTGGGGCGAGCTGGTGTGGACATATTCACACTGGCATGCATGCTGACTTTGGCAAGGTGAGATGGCTGCTCTTTGCCCCTTGGGGAGAGGAGAGGAAAGTCCCTCCGCCACCCTGCGAGCCAACAGCTTTCAGCCACCCAAGGTGCTTTCCTTCACGTGAGAGCATGGCCCATGGAGGAGCCAAGCTTCTGGTCCGCTGTGCGGGCCACCATCTGGTCTTCCTCAAAACCAGAGGCCACTCGGAGGGGACATCTGACTGTGGTTATGAGCACAGTCTGTGTCCACGACCTGACTCCTTAGCGTGAGGGGACTCCAATGGGCAGCCCTGGCTCCACCATATCGTCTATCACAATGTTGCCGCACTTGGCAATGAAACCAAGGCTTCCATCTGCCATCGGCACTGCCGAGCCATGTGTCGGTACCGTACCCTCCGCTGGGTCCACCTCAGCTTCCCTGACAGAGCAAAATAAATAAGTAGCTGATTCGAACCTGCTTGGCTACTGAGCTGAGCTCCACGGCCAGGTCCCCTCCAGAATTCCCAATGCCGATGACGATGATTCTCTTTCCAGTGAAACTCTGTGGATCCTTATACTCTCGACTATGGAAGTACTGTCCTTGGAACTTCTCGATTCCTGCAAGAGAAGGAGATATTATGATCAGCTGGTGGTTGATCTGATATCATTTGACAATTTTTTTTTCTTTTTTTGTGACGCGTAGAGTTTAAGCATATACTCTCCATACGCTCTCCCTTTATTCAGCTGCGCTATTGCTGTTTTGAATACTTTTTGTCTCTTTTCTCTTCCCCTAGCCTCAGAGCAGAACCTTGTGACTTCCTACCCAGGATCCATTTGTAGACTCAGAAATCCAAACTGCTTCGGAAAACCTTCACTTTCTTCTCTTTTCATCCTCTTTAAATATCTACTCCCATTTCAATTAGAGTACGTGTTTTCATGAACTCTAGAGTATACATAGAATACTTTTTTTTTTCTTCAAAATAAAAATCCAGGCCAAAGACCGTAATAAATTCTTTCCTAACTTAAGCTTCCATTTCTTCCTTACAAACTCAGCATTTCTGTGTTTTCTCGATCGCTGAAAAAGTCCTCATTCGACCTCATGTAAGTCAAGTCCACGTTCTTTCTTTTGATCTTCAGAGAAACTAATCATTGTGAAACTAAATCTAGAGCCTTCTAACTTTTCTCTCGTCTCCAAAATTATCATTCTCTCTGCTCTCAAGTGGCACTAACACGGGTTACCCCAATATCTAGCAGGAGAACATGCAAAATTAGGATAAGCCTTACTTCATCCCGAGGTGGGAATCACTCAGGCTGGAAACTTCCCCTTCCCCAGGGACCAGGCCACAGGCGTGGTTCAGGGGTCCTCCGTCCTGGTAGGCCACTCACCAGGGAAGCTGTCCAAGGGCAAGTGAGCATAGGTGTGGTGGCCGGTGCAAACCATGACCCCGTCGAAGACATTCACCTCCTTCTTCCCTGCACATTCTGTGACCACCTCCCACTGGCCTGAAGTGGAGAAATCAGGCTGCTTCGTCACACTGCACACATTGGTCTGAAAAGAAAAGCGACAGCCACAGGGGACTGTAACCACAGGCTGTCCAGTGGCCACCTTCCCTGACGTGACTCTCCTGACAGAGTGTGACGTGAAGGGCTGATGTCACGTAGCAGGGCACATGCAGGGATATTTGATTTTCGTGCTCCACAAAGAAGAACTTTTTCTGAGGGAAAACTTCCCTGAGGCAGAAATACTAGTTCCCTTAGAATGTCCCTAAGGTAGCGTGACACCGGAATAAAGCTTGGACTTCTGTGCTTCTAAGACACCCCATGCACTCAGAGCCTACCCCTCCCCTGACCCCCAGACGTCCTGACACCCTTTGATGTCTCGTATCCCAAGTCCTGTTCTCACTGTGTAGCCTTAAACATGCGACTGAGTTCCAGGGCTCCCTCCCTCCTAAGTCGAAAAACATCTCAGTGGCTCATTTACATAAAACTTATTTACATAAAACTTTTATGTACATGAACCTCTCTGAGGCTCCTATAAATGCCTATTTTACAAGTAACCATAAAGAAAGAGGCTGTGAGATGGGATAGTCAGCGGCCTAATTTTTACCTTTAAAAAAAAATAGGGAAAATTAAGAACGTGCTCCTATGTGCTTCCAGGGTCTACGACCATCATCTGTGTGTGGACTAAGGCAGATGTCACAGCTGTGTCCCCTAGCCTTCCCGCACGCTTTACAGTTCTTCTCTGCCACGTTTTTGCTTTTCCGCAGGCTGGTGCTCCTGAAGGGATCGTCCTTTTATGCTTTCTTCATTTGGCTGATTAAACCCTTCGTGAGTTTAGATATTTTAGTTTAGATATTTTAGATATTTTAGATATTTAGATATTTTCTCCAAAAAGGAAATGTCCCTGGTACCCGACCTCATGCCCGGGTGGGTTAAGCATCCGTTCTCTGAGCTGTAATATATAGAGATCTCTAGACAGCATTCATCGCCCTGTAACTCTTGTATTAAAAAAAAACCCAAAACCAAAAAAACGGTCAACAGGGACTTCATCTAAAATGAAGTAGGGAGGCAAGAAGGGGGGAGGGGCCCTCTCATGCCTTAAGTCAGTTGCGAAACACAGCAGGGAGGACTCTATGGTAGCTGTTCCAACTTCCTCTTCCCTCCGTAAAAGACTTCGCTCTCCTTGGTTTTTGCAGAATTGCGTGTGGTCCCGGATAAACCGTTGTTGTTCTCAGATAAACCCATTTTACTACATCTGGCTGACTTTTTGTTCAAAGTCATCACTCTTTACTTTTATTAATTATATTTATAATAAATTTTTCTTCACTTTTCTATCTCCTTGGACTATGAAATCACAGATTTTTTTTTCTTTTTTTTTGTCTTTGTATCTTCACTGCTTAGTACCGTCATGAACCTGCTCAATAAGTGTTTAAACAAGTGACAGGAAGCACCACAGGGCTGGAAATGACTGACTTTGGAAGTTGTCACTGGCTAGTACCATTTTATTGTTGTTGTTAAACAGAGAAAGGCATGATTCAGCAGAATGGTCAGAAGGTAGAAGGGGCTGGGGGTAGGTCCAAATGTGGGAACTTCCAGTTATACGATGGCTAAGTACTGGGGAAGAAACATACTATGTGGCGACTCTGGTTAACACCGCCGATGGCACGTATGAAAGTTGTAGAGAGTAGATCCTAAGACTCCTTGTCACACACACAAAAATGAAATATAGAAGATTTGGACTTTTTTTTTTTTTTTGCCAGCTGTCGGAAATATCTGTTCTTTCATGGCTATGCCTAAAAATGATGGAAAAATTGTGGAAGGCTTTACAGCAGGAAGAAGCCATTGAAGTGACACACCGAAGGTGAGCAACTTACTTGTCTGAGGCCGCAAGTTGATCCGTAGTAAAACAAAGACTAGAACTCAAGTTTTCCTTCCTCGATTCAGCGTTCTTCCCGCTTTACCGGAGTTCCCTCCTTTGCTTTCTCAGTAACTTCCCCATAACTACTTCACGGGGTTGTTACGATCACATAAAATAACGCGATGGAAAACACTTCGGAAGGTGTAAAAGGGCCAAGCAAGAGCGGGCGAGCTGGGGTGCCAGGAGGTTTTAAAGGTCCCACAACCTGTCAGTTCCCCTCTCTAAATGGGAAAACATTTGGCCTCATCTGTTTTATTGCGATCGGGGAGTCTAAAATGAAGGCAATAAAAACATTCTGCCGGGTGGATTCCTGAAATCGCAGCCAAAATATGTAAGAGAGGGACCTTTCCGTGACTATTTTTCAGGCACAGAAGAGAGACAGTGCGGAGTCTTTGTCTGGAAAGGCTAGATACATGTGGACATCAAACCAACCTTTATATGTAAGCACTGGTAAATGAAACCACATTATTCATCTACTCGACAAACAACTACAAACACAAGCACATCCACAACATTCCCTACCTTGAATCGGATGTACTTTAGAAGGTCAAATTCCTTGGCATACATCCTGAAATACTCCAGGACCTGGGAGTTGTGCATGTAGTTAGGAAAATGATCTGGAATGAGATAGTCACTATAGCACATCATCTCCTTGGAAGTGTTGATGATCACTGATTTGTAAATGCTGGCCCTTCCTTCTTCAGGAATTTCCTGCAGTAAAAAGCATTCACGGCAACTTCAGAGTTAACCTCGTGGTTTATAAAGAGTCAATAAATATTTCGAAAAGTTTTCTGAAAGAAATGCCATTTAAAAAAAGTTACACGCACACCCTCCACATCTCCCAGAATTTGTACCTTTGTGTAGTCTCTTCCCCTTGAATCTGAGTTATGTTTATGACTTCTGTTGACCAACAGCATGCACTTGGAATGATACCGAATGGCCTCCAAGACTAAGTCATAAGTAGTCTCGTGGCTTCTGCCCAGGTCTCTTAGAAAGCTTGCTCTGGTGGCAGTCAGCAGCCATGTAAGAAGTCCAACTACTCTGAGACCACCATACTGTGAGGAGGCCCAAGCTAGCCACGTGAAGAGGGTGACTGGAATAAAGAGATGCACAGCCAGCCCCCAGAAATTCGAGTTAGCCTAGTTGAAGTTTTAAACGTGTGTGAGCACAGAGACCATAGCAGATGTCCAGTGTCAGCTCTCACTTGATCACAGCGACATGAGACAGCAAGTGAGAACTGCCCATCTATGTGACAGTCTTAAATATTTTACATATTTCGAAGCCTAAGTAAGTGTCAAGGGTTTTCATATACTTGCGAGATTGCTGTCTGAGAATCATTGTACTAACATATTCTGGCCAGTATGTTCCCATTTTACCTCATTTTTACTAATTTAGAAGACTATTGGTCTGTGTTGGCAAAAACTGAGTGAAATGGAAACTTATGCTGGAGAGAGCGTAAGTTAGTAGAAGGTACTCTCCATCATCGTTCTTACCTAACCTTAGTGATGAGATCAAGAATCGATTGAAATTCATGTCTCGAGAACATACATGTGCTATTGATCCCCCTTATCCACTTTTTAAGGTTTCAGTTACCCACAGTCAACTGTGGTCTGAAAACAGTAAATGGGAAATTCAAGAAACAAACCATTCCTAAGTTTTAAGTCCCGTGCGGTTCTGAGCAGCGTGATGCAATCTGGGGCCCTCCGGCTCCCACCCGCCCCTGCTGTGAGTCACCCCTAGGGAACCCCCGCTCTGTCCAGCACGTCCGCGCCGTCCAGCACGTCCGCGCCGAGCCGCTGCCCACCCGCTCGTCACTCAGCAGCCACCCCAGTTATCAGACTGGCTGTCATGGTGTCACAGTGCTCGCGTTCAAGTGACCCCTAGTTGACTGAATAATGGCCCCGGAGTGCGAGAGTCGTGATGCTGGCAATTCGGGTGTGCCCAAGAGAAGCCGCGAAGTGCTTCTTCCAAGTGGAAAGGTGAGTCGAGTACAAGACACTGCGAGAGAGAGAGGAAGAGAAAAAGAAAGAGAAAGTAGAAGAACAGAACAAGAAAAAAAACAAGGTTAGAGAAGAGTTGGAGGGAATTTCCGGATGAGTTGGAGGCAGGTCATCTAGATCGCTTACTGCGGGTGCAGAGCAGCACTGACCACTGCGAATTTTCGAACCACTTTACATGTCCTCGTGTTTGTTATTTTGCCGACTCCCCCCACCCGCCCGCCACACACACAATCTTACCCTCTTCTAGATGGCAGCAAAACTCTTTAAATGCTCTCCGTGCCGTTTTTGTAGATACCAGTAAAGGAAAAACAAGTGACGCCTGTGTCCATTTAGCTGCTAGGCTAGG